CTGGGCTTGAGGCTCAGTTGACTTGTGCAGTGACCAGCTTCAGCAAGACTTGGTGGCTATGCCCGGACTTCCAGCCCATTAGGAGAGGACACAAGAGGGGCAGCAAGCTCTGAAAGACCATCTCTGTCAACATATTACACCAACTCCTGTCTTGGAAACCGTCGAGCTGTCAACACGGCGTTCACAACCTAATTAGCCCACCTCTCTTCAGGCCATAATTAGCTCAGGTGCAATCACAGCCTGGCATGGCTCTGCTGCTTCCTGTTCTAGAGATGGCTGAGGGTTCTGTGTGCAGCATAGCATAAACATCACCCAGGTCTTTTTTTAAAGATTAGGACTCGGGTGTTTGTTAATGATAGGTGGCAGGGCTTGTGGGAGAGGACGCTGAGTTTCTGGATTGTGCCAGGTAGATGCTCGGCTGTGACTCTGGTGGTAGAGTCCAGCCAGTATCTGTGGGAGTGATGTGGGTGGGCAGTCTCAGCTTTTGGGGATCTGTGGTGGAAAAAGAAGGCGCAACACCCTCCCTGCTGAAGGAATACCTATGGTTCAACTTGTTTCTTTTGACTTCTTTGCTTCACTCAGGGCTTGCTTCTTCCTTTCAGTAGGCTGCCTGCTCCTTCAGCAAAACGAAGCTCTTTCCTACATGAACTCAACTCCTTCTCAGTTCCCTTTTGTTTTGACACTCAGGAGACAGCAGATTTATGGCCCTTCCTGAGTCGTAAGTTCATTTTCTTTTATTATTTACCTTTCACGGCAGCTCGTTCTGAGCGAGATCTCGTTCTGCCTCCGAGCAGGGCTGACCTGCCAAGAGAAGCTGATCCATAAATCTTTCCTTCCTTTTTTTGAGTTTCCAAAACAGAATTAGCTGAGTTTGCCTGGGAGGAAAACTGTTCTGCCATTGCCGGCAGTCAAACAGTGCAATTAATTAGTGCTTTCCCTTTTCTCTTCCCTCTAGTCTTTGTCTGCCAGAATTGAAAGTAAGCCGGGGAGGAGGACGAGAAAGAAGGGGGAAAAGCTTTGTTTGAAGGATTTATTTTGAATTAAAACTTTTGCAAGGTGATCTGGTCTAGTGGTGGTGTACCTACTGCATCGTATCTAGTGGTCAGAAGAGGTTTAATAGAAATGTCCCGGCACGACTTCAGGTCAAGAGATGACTTCAGGTTTGTCTGATGAAGAGCAATTGTTCCCAACTCCAGCTCATGTAGCCGAGGCCGCTGTGGTGAGACTCGTCTTTGCTGTTTTACACCTTGCGTTCACACCCAGGGTAAGAAACAGGAAAAAAGCTGACATGGTGCAGCTTTACACTTGGGATATTTTCTTGATTTGGCTGGTCAGAATTTACATTCCTGACTGAAACCTTCTAGAGAAAATGGATTGAATTCTCTGTCCTCCTTCTTAATGTTACAGCTGAAAAGCCAACCAAGTAAAGGAAAAAAACAATAATCTTTGGCTACGTTAGCTCATGATGCGTTTCTAGGACAAATAATTTCCATATAACTAGGAAGTGGGAGTCCAGGGTTCTTGTAGACCTGCATGGTTGCAGTAAGCCAATTTATTTCAAGGTGGTACAGTCAGTGCATTGTGCAAGGGACGGATCTGTTACTCCCTGTATAGTGGCTGCCAGTGTGGTCTGATTTAAATAGCAAAGCAAAATGTTTTCAGATCCTTAGAAAACTTTCTGCAGATCCAACGTCCTTTTTATTTTTAGCTCTTGGTTAGTTTTAGCAACTGAGTGGCCAGATGTTAGCTTCATGGACAGAAATAAGAGCTATCTTGATGCTTGAAATTGAAACTATTCACAATGCTTAAAAAATAAATGCGGGAAAACTTGTGTTGCTTAAGTTGTCCCTAGGAAGAGCACTGAGATCCCTGAGTCCTAAACCACTGGTAGCTTCACCACTGGACTCTGTGACCCTTGGATTATTTTGGATGGAAACAATAAAACACTTGAGGCGTGTTGCTAGGGTAGCAAACAAATTCCCCATTTTCTGGCTTACGTGGGCTGCTTTTTGATTTCAAGAGCAAAAGACTGATGGGTCAGGATTGGAAAAATTGCTCAGAGGACAGTGCAGGAAAGAAGCGTTCAGCTGAAGCTGTTTTGAAAGGCAGGTACTGGGAGGAAGAGTGCTTCATTTCCATTCCTTCCCATTTTGGGAGACAGAGCATGTCACAACAGTGCTGAGCAGACAAGAGCTGCTTGCCAGCATTTAATTTGTTGAAGATTAGGAAATTATTCCATTCTTACAATACCATGTCAGTCTAGAGATACCTTTGAACTCCGGGGGATGTGAAATTTTAGATCTAGCCTCAGATTTCGTTGTGTTCGGAAGCCAAGGCTTTATCAGAGCAAGAAGTGTACGGATGGTTTAAGGGGAATCGTGTTAATAGTGTACCTAGAGACAATGGATTGGCTCAACTTCAGCTGCCCTTGAACTCTGGGATAACTACATCCAGAACAGGACACTGAATTTAGGCTTTTTTCTTTGCAATCTAGAAGCTAGCTTGTACAACGCAGAGCCTAGCTATTTCTGATTTACTCTGTTTGCCTGCTAAAGCATTGCCCCCTTTCTGACCAGCAGCTTTTTCCCCTGAAAATACCTACAGCCTTGAATCCCACATCCTTCTCTAAATGCTGGCCCTACTCTAAGCCCTAACCACCCCGCGCCCCATCAGGCTGAGGGAAGAAAGCTGAGAAGTCTTGTACACGGCTGGGCTGACCCTCAGCAGGTGCTTTCATTATTTACGATGGTTTCTAAAAGCATCATCGCAACTGTTGGCGTCAAAGGGTAAGCAAAGCTTCTCTTAGGAGCACAAATGATAAACAAACCAAAGACGCTCGGTGTCAAGAGCCTCACAAATCTGTTCACCACCTGGAGCTCGAAGCAACTCAGGAGTTGCAAACCACTGCCTGCCCACAAGTAGAACAGCGGTTTCAGAAGTGCCGTAAGTAAAATAAGCGTCCTGACGCGGGCACCAAAAATACGCGTGTCCCGAGCTTTTCTGAGCGTTTGGCCAGGTCGCAGCTGCTGGCTGGTGAACATTTTGCAAAATGTATCCCCTCATTCAGGTGCTCGGCACTTGGAAATGTGGACCTGAATGACATCACCTGCTTCTCTGATAACCAACCGCGGGTTTACCCTGCAAAACCAGCCAAGTTCTCACTGCTTGCCATGGAAGGAGGAAAACAATTCTTTTTATTTTTCTTTTTTTTTCCTGTTCCTACCTGATTATTAGAAAAATATCCTGAAGAGACTTTCCTCTGTTTGATGGAGGTGATCTTAAGGTCTGGGATCATTGTAGCTAGCCTTCTGCCACTCCAAGCAGTCCCACATATCACATGGGAAAGCAAATATCCCTGATGCCTCTGATATCAAATACCTTTTGCTGACCTCCCTTGAAGAAAATTCCTTGTAAAAAACTGCTTTTGTCTATAGGTTTCCGTCACTGGGAGCCTTGCAGGGGTTTCTGAGCTCTGGTGATTTATTACTCTGTAATCTTGTAGTTTATGGAGAGTCCTGCTGGAAACACACGGGGGTACGAGGGTAAAAGTATCAATTAACCAGTGATCTGGTGCCAAAAGCCACCCATGGGCAAGGACAGGAATGGGGTTTCAGGCTCAGAGAATAAACCTGCAGTGGAGCAGGAGCTCCGGGGCTGGAAAGGTTTGAACCAGCACTCCCTAATGGTAGGATATAAGGGCCTGTAAGAAGACTGTATCCACTACAGAGACGGTGAGGTTGTAAATCAAGGCAGAATTTCTGCCAAGTTTTGAGCTTCAACTGGAAAAATATCCGCAGAAGGCAAAGGTAGATAACGTTTTACACGAGCTAAAGGTTGGCTTGGCAATTCTGATCTCATCTCTCGAGTACTTCCTTAGTGTTGAAGTGGAATGGTTCAAGTTTAATGGAGATAGTTTGGGGTTTGGTGATGTGGAGATGTGGAGGAGAAAGGAAGGCTTAAGTTGCGGTCTGTTGGGATTTGCAGTGTTTTGGCAGTAGCTTTCCAGCATTGCTTTGTAAGTGGCTGGATTTGGAACAGCTTGGAGAGAAGCGACGATCAACAAGCCGCGTGATTCGTTGCTGTAGCCCTTGCACTGCAGCTTCCCTGGGACTTGATTTCTGCCATCAGAGCCCTTCACTTGGGGAAGGAATACAGGTCATCAGCAGGCCAGGCTGGCAACTCCTTTCTTCCACTGCGGCGAGTTGTTCTCTGAAATAGACTCACTGAAGTCTAAGGATCATTATTTTCATCAGTGGTGACTCATATTAATGGTTTCACAATCAGACCTGCTGGTGTAATATGTTCCTTTCCACAGTACGTTTATCTAAACATCTCGGAATACTTTATGTACATTAAACTTCGATTCATGTTTTGCCACCGGTGAAGTAGGGAAGGAGGATTGTTTCCATTTTGCAAATGAGGTAAACTGAGGCACGGAGTGAGAAAGTGACTTGCCCGAGAGTGCAGGTTGGTTGCAGAGTTGTGTAGGGTGCCATCCTGCAATGAGTGTAAGTTTTCCATACGTGGCCCTCTTTTCCCCGCCTGAATTTTAAAGGAACATTTGATTTCCTAAGGCTAAGGCTGAGCAGAAATCCGTCTCGAGCTATAAACTCAGAAAGTCTGATGTGAATCACAACTTGCTCTGGTGCTTGGGAACATTTAGATTTGTCATCCCAGACTGGCCCTGACCTGAAAGGATTGGAGCAGAACGGCTGCTTAGTTTTTTAGGGCTGGTATCAACTGGTTGGTTTAAGATGGGGAGTTAAGTGTCAGTGAAGAACGCTGCTTCCGATCTGGTCATCCTCATTTGTCTGACTAGGCAACAGGGTCAGTGTAGGCAGCAGAATTTAATCTCTTGTGCTAATTAGATGGCTTCAATGGTCATTTAACTAGCGAGTGGCAGAGGCAGGAAGGGTATTCCTCTCTCCCCAGTGCCCCCATTACTTAAACATATTGTCACCAAACTGACCTTTATGCCTCTCTGCTTCCTTCCCTGCCAGGGTCCCCTTCTCTGAGGGCATATCCGCTCATCTCCGTCATCACCAGGCAGCCCTCCGTGCTCCCTCACCTCGTCCCAGCTGCCACCAGCTCCCGCGTGCTGCCAGCCCAAACCTCCTCGGGCACCGCGAGCTCGGAGGCACCTGCCAGCGAGACCCATGCCAGCAGCGAGTCGGAGGCAGAGCAGCCCACGCCTCGGTTAAAAAAGCCGCGCCGGAGTCGGACCATCTTCACGGAGCTCCAGCTGATGGGCTTGGAGAAGAAATTCCAGAAGCAGAAGTATCTCTCTACCCCTGACAGGTAGGTCAATCCCTTACACTAGGAAAAGGAATGAGCAAAAAGGCTGCTCAGCTGTTCCCACGCTGAACACTCCCTGGCTCTAGCGTGCTGCCTTCTAGCTCCACAGAGATGCCTCTGCCGTTGGCCAAGGACGTGGGCAGATGACCAGATTCAATTTCAAGGCTAACTTTGCCTGGGATCAAAGGTGACACAAATAGATTGCATCAATGGAAACGCCTCGTGGTGATACATGTGCTCGATAGCAGGGATCCAGGCTCAGAGCTAGGCAAGGCACAAAGCAGAAGGCTCTCTGTCTTTCCAGTTCTTGCTGCACGCCTGAAAACTGGTGCAGTGTGTTTCCTCCTAGCACCTGGTGGTGGATGGCTGTGTCCCCGTGGCAGACGAAAGGTTGACTGCTGAACGAGCTTTCATCTAGCAGGCTTGGGCAGCAGTTCAATGAGAAGGTGGTGGCCTGTCCATCAGCTTGGAAAACGGAGCCAGGGTTGCACAGGGTTGAAGGCTGCCTTGGCCTTGTGAAGGCACAAACAAGTAGCTTGTGTTTGTGAAGGAAAAGGCAAGTTTGTAGGGACTGCTTGGTACCAGGTGGACAAACCAAACTGAGGAGAGGCTTTAGTGTTTTTAAAGGCTTTGAATCCTATTCCGCAAATTCAAATTGCGAGGAAAAATCCCGTCTGATTCCTATGACATTTGTATGAGGGTTTGAAAGGTACAACAGACCTTGAACTTCACAGATGGCAGTGCCCCAATATTTAAATTGGTTTTTTGCTTGTACTGCCTGTCACCAAAGCTGAGGATCGCAGCCAGCCCAAATTTCACGGGCCTGGCCAGGCTGTCTCATACCATTTCAAAGCTCCTAATGCACCTGTACTGACTCCTCATGGCTTCACATAACCAGGTGGTTGCTGAAGCACTCGAGGCTGTTAATTAATTTTATCGTATGACTGTTCCTTGGCTTTGTCTGTGTTTGAGGCTGATGAACAATTCCTGCCCTTGTACCGCTTCCCCTCTGTTTGTTTCCTCGGGTTTCTAGGCAGTGCTGGTTACGCTAACGCATGTGGCAAGACCTGGGGACTGGTTGCGGGTGATGGCAGCGTGGTAAGACGTGCACAAAGGCAAGGAGAGTTAGTCAAGCTGTGCCTCTCTCTGTCAGCTCATGGCTGGAAACGTGGTGGGTTGTGATCTGCGTTCACTCCTACAGCTTTTGGCCTGGGTGCAAGATTGTCCTGCTGGGAGAGCAACTTGAGTAGTAGTAAGGGAGTGCAGCACGACAGGATAATGCCCTTGCTGGATTTTGCTTTTCAAATAAAAGTAGCGGTATCGTTAAGCCAATGGAGTGTCTCACAGATGTTATGTAGTGGCCTAGGTAGGAGGCAAACCAAACCTGTAGCGGGTGAAAAGCGCGGATCCATGAGGGTGAGCACAGAAAGCTGGTGTGAGGTGTGTAGGTGTTTGCAAGTATAAGAGTGAGGCTGATTGCCCTGGGAGCCCAGCTGCAACATGTTTTATGAAAAGCTTGGCCTCGACCCTATCCAAAAGTGGGGAAATATTTGACAAAAAATTCACCCAATCCTTGGAATGTGACCCCAGGATGGAGTTATCCCACCTGCAGGACTCGTGTGACTCTTCGGGGCGCTTGCTCAGCGTTGTTGAGGATTTCCAACTCCGTCCATTGTGCAACTCCACTTCCAAACTGCCAGATGCGTGGTGCTCTCACCTGTGGGGAAGGATGAAGAGTTACTCTGAGCTGCATTTGCTTCATACCCTGGGTTTTAATACAGAAATAATGAATGGTTTCAGGTGAACTCACATAGGCTGGAGATTTGTGGAGGATGAATCGGGATTATGGGTTGACTGCCACGTATACCCTTAAGCTAAACACGCAAATAATAAATTTGCTTATAAGCCAGAATTGCTTATAATAGCAGAATGCATAAGAAATTAATAGATTTAGGGGTACTACTACTCCACGAGGAATCAGAAAGTATTATTATCCCCAGGGAAGAAGAAGTATGATACAAAGAGCCACACTTTCAGAGGCAGACTGATCCCTCAGTTCTGACGTGTTTGCATCAAACACCACAGACCTGCTTTATCAGGGATGTTCTGGACCAGTAGCTCCTCGCTTCGTGTACAACCCTGGAGTGTTCCACAGAGGGCAGGCAAACTCTGCAACTTCTAGGCGGGCACGTTTGTCCAGCAGTCACAGAGGAGAAAAAAGACCAGAGAGCCTGCAAACACCTAAGTATTCTTGCCTTTTCCATAAGAGCATCTATCTCTACATCCTAAATTGTCTGTTTTGTCTCCCAGGCTTGACTTAGCCCAGTCCTTGGGGCTGACCCAGCTCCAGGTGAAGACGTGGTACCAGAACCGGAGGATGAAGTGGAAGAAAATGGTGAGTGGTTTGTTACCATTTCTCCACGGTCCTTAAAAAGCGATTTCAAAAGAACAGATTTGGAAGCTGAGCACAGCGTCAGCGCCCCGTGTCTATTTATACAGAATTTCGGTTTGTTCTCGATCGCTTTTTGGAGAGACGTAACTCTTTATAAAAAATGTTCGTACTGCAGCATATGTGGTGGGCTAGAGGGGACCATAGGCAGTGGGAAGAACACAAAGCCAAGAGATGAAAGAAATTAGAACAGCACGGATGGAAGATCCAAAATATCTCCCTCTGCATTTTTGGCATTCCCATGATCTTAATGCTTGTGAGATTGGTTATGTACAGAGACAAAAAAGATCGTGTTGCTCCATGGAAACCAATGCAGTTATGAGAGCTAATACCACTAATTCTCACTTTTCATATTTTCCTTTAGCCTCTTCCCCTTTTTTCTCAGCTTTGTGCCCCTTTTCCAGTTAAAATGCTTTTAGAAATGACAACTGTCGAATAAATCCTGGTGGGAACCGTGATGCTGTGACATTCTCCAGTGGAGATGTTTATGTATTCTGATCTGGGAGAGGAGAGGCACTTCCAGGCTCTATCTTTGAATGTACATGACAGCTGCAGAGGTTACTGCCACTTAAAAACAAATTTGGGATTAGCTTGGGTACAGAACTTTGGTTGGAAGTGTTCTGTTGCTGAAGGGTGAGGAGATTAAACATAGGAGCAGATCTGTCTTGCTGACTCCCCACCTTTACTCAGATGAGAGAGGTCTCATACAGATGTTGGAAAAAAAAAGAAAATCAAAAGAAAGTCTATTTCAGAGAGCAAAGAGGAATGTGGTCAGAGGAAATCCTTGCTAAGGTTTGTGACTGTTCTTGCTTGGACTTTGAATAAAGAAAACACTCAGGAACTGAATTCTGCATAAAATCTTGTCTGTACTTTTGAGGCTTTGGGGCCCAACTTAGAGACCTCCAGAATCTTGGGTGTCCTTGCTGGATCGTTTAATTTCCATGAGAAAATGAGTGAGCTCGCTCCATGAATGCAGCACGTGAGGCTGAAAGGGTGACCTAAGTCACGGATGAACTTTGAGGTCAAAGCTGAGCTTTGTCCTTCTCTAAAGGATGTCTCGGGAATTCAGACTGGTCCTGACGTCTCGTCTCTTTGCTCCAGGTGCTGAAGGGTGGGCAGGAAGCTCCAACGAAGCCCAAAGGCCGTCCGAAGAAAAACTCCATTCCCACCTCAGAGGAAATCGAAGCGGAAGAGAAAATGAACAGCCAGGCTCAGAGTCAGGAGCTGGAGGGATCTCAAGCACCCGAGGAGCCTAAACTGACAGAGGAGAAGCCAGAAGTCTCTTTGGAGACAGAGAAATTGCCAGAACATATATCAGAGCCCTCCTCAGAGGAGACTACGCCATTAAGTTAAAAGGAAAAGAAAGGAGGGGGAAAAAAAGTAAAAAAAAAATTAAAAAAAAAAAAAATCCCAAACCCAAATATATATATATGTATATATATATATTTA